ACCTAAAGTTCTGCGTGAGTAAACTTTAACAGAAGTGCCTTCCAGCCTTCTGTTTCAGCCCTGTGAGCTTCCTGGTTTAATTGAGCACTCTGCAGCCCCAGTGTTTTTATTCGTGGGTCTATGAGAAGTTAAAGGAGTGAAAGAGAAACTTTCTGACTTGCTTTCTTCCTTGATCCTCGTGTGTGTGTTTGTGTGTATGTGTGTGTTGTGTGTGTGTGTAGCTTTGTGTGTGTGCCTTTGGAGTGGGGACAAGGGTGTGGCAGAGAATTCTGACCAGGCTTTTCTTCTTGGGACTTCCTGCTCCTGAGCTAAGGTGGAGCATCGAGTTTCTCCCTGGTGGTGAGTGCAGCCCTGATACTGGGCATGGGAACGCCCTGGTTTTCTAGAAAGCCACCAACTCCAAATCTTTATGTCAGGGGCTCTCAAAGTGTGGTCCCTGGATATGCATCACTCATCTGGGAAGTTGTTAGAAACTCAGATTTTTGGGCACCACCCCACCTATTGAATTGGAAACTCTGGGGGAGGGGCCCCAGTGGCAGCGGTGCTATTTAGCAAACCCCTCAGGGGATTCTGATGCATGCAAAAGTTTGGGAACCACTACTGAAGGCCAAGGTCTTTTTAATTTCTGAAGCAGATCTTTTGTATTTCTGAGTGCTTACTGAAGCTTCAGGTTATCAGTTTCCTGAACCAGAAATATGACACAGACAGCAGCAGCAGTAATACTTATTGCTGGCCACGTTCATATAGCGTGGTGGCTAGGAACGTGGATTCTTTGGAGTTCTTTACCACTATGTGACCTTGGGTAAGTTAATTAACCTCTCTGCTTTTTATTTCCTCAACTGGGCTATGGAGATAATAGTAGTAGAGACTCTTACTATCCCTGTTTCACAGTTGAGGAAACTGAGGCCCGGTAACAGTTCCAGAGCTTGCTTTGAGTTACTCTTCAGTGGAGTTGGAGGTTCAAATTCAGACAGTCTGATTGCAGAGCCTGGGCTCTTGTCCCCCTTGTGTGCATTTCCACTTAGTCATCCTTACCCTGGGGTCAGCAAGGCCTCCACCTGTAGCCACAGCTGCGAGCTGTAGGGGCCTGTAGTGGCTGGAGCTGGACGTCCCACCGTCATGGTGTTGCAGCAGGAGCAGAGCCTGTGTGAAGCTCCCTGTTTCTGAAACCTGGATTCCCCTTTTCAGAGACAGGGCTTTAAAAGGTAAAAGCAGTCCTCTCAGTAAACTTTGGTTTTCTGCAGGAGTGTGGTGACACTCTGGGAGCAGGTGTCAGCTATCACTAGAGTTGAGGTGCTACTGCCATTTAGTGGGCGGGGCCAGGTGTGCTAGATGTCCTCAATGACGAATTGTCCTGTGTCCCACTGGATTGTCATATGTGCCACCAAACTTTCAAAGTCGTTTTCTCTCTGTTCCAGGTGGGAATCTATTTACATATGATCTCAAAGTATTTTTTTGGCATGATTTTAATACACAGTCAGTATACACTGAGGCTCTGAGGAATATAACGATTGCGTTTTAATATATTGGGAGAAGATTTTATTTTGTTGGTTTGAAAATTTTACTAAGAGTTTTCACCGTTACAGGAGATTCACACCATGCTGTTCCTGATAATTCGAAATAGCAATATAGCACACCTCTATCAGTCTGCATTTTGTACGGATTGCATTTATGGTGATTCTAGGTATAGGAACAAACATTTACTAATTCTTGATGTCTCCTAGGGCCCCACCTCTCAAAGGTTAATGTGTCCATGAATTACCTGGAGCATTTGTTAAGCTGATTGAAATGAGATTCTACATTTGTAACAAGCCAGCACTGATGGCCCATGGACCACACTTTTTGGGTAGTAGAGGTCTTGTTGTGTATGCCTGAGGGTTTTCTTTTCAAGTACCTGTGTTGTTATAACTTACTTTCATTTTGAAAAATCTTTTAGAGTGAGGGCATTAACATTGATTTTTTAAAAAAATGTTGGTAAGTTATTGTCTATGAATTTCATTTCAGGCTTGGAAAAAGGGCATTTAAAAATATTTGCTTTTAGGATGGTGCCTTGGGCCTGATGGGGTGACAGCCACTGCTCTGGGAGGTTAAGTGGCTCTAGTCATAAATCCACACAGAATTAGGGACCTCAACGTCATGGGGTAGTGATTCAGAATATACTTATTATGTTAATTGTTCGAAACAGGTTATCATTCACTTATTTACTCTTTCAACAGATATTTATTGAATATATTTTGTGAATTGAATATTGTGTGCTCTGTGCCAGCCACTGCTCTGTGTTCTCGGCATGCTTCTGTGAACAACATAAAGACCCCTGTTCTCACAGACCTTATCTTCTGGTGGGGGAGACAGACAGGATACATCATAAGTAAATTACGTGGGGTTTTAGGTGATCAGTGCTATGGATTATTGGAAGATTAGGAGTGCTAGGGTGAAGGGAATGGGGTGAGCAGTTCCAGTTTCAAATAGGGTCATCAGATTTCTCATCGAGGACATGACTTAAGGTGGTCAGGGAGTTGGCCATGTGGAAACCAGGGAAGAGCAATCCAGGCAGAAGGGATAGACCATGCAAGGCCCTGAGGCTGGAGATCGTCCAGCTGGACACTTGAGGAGCTGCAGAGTGAGCAAGGGGAGTGTGGTTAGGGATGAGGTCAGAAAGATATAAGGGGCCAGATCACTCAGGGACCTGTAGGACCTCATAGGGCCTCTGCTCGTATTCTGAGGTACGGAGTTATCGCAGGCTTTGAGGAGTGACATGATCTCACTCAAGTTTTCCAAAGCTCCCTGTGGCTGCTGTGTTGAATGTGGCCTTCAGAGGGCAAAGGTAGAAGCAAGGAGACCAGTTAGGAGCTATTGCAATGTCCAAGCATGAGGTGATGGTGGCCTTGACCTGGGGGAGGCATCGGTGGTAGTGAGAAGCGCTCAGATTCCGGATGCATTTTCATGAAACTGAGAATACAAGTTTAGAAAGTTCTCAGCACTCAAGGCTCCCAGCAGTACCTGTGTGGATCCTAGTTTGAGGAAAATCTGATGTGGTTGACAGACTTGTTACCATGGTCCCATGTTCTTTTCCTTCTGGCGATTCTGTGTGTGTATTTGTGCATGTGCGTACGTGTGCGTGCGTGCGTGTGTGTGTGCGCGTGGCATGTCTGTCCAGGCCAGTGCTTAGCAGTCAGTCACAACAGGCAGCTAGCTGAGCAGGGGTTAGTTTAGAATAGAAACTGAAGCAGCACTAAATGGAACTAACTGGTCCTGAAAGCCTCACACATTCCCTCTTGATTAACCCAGGACGTATTTTTAGTAAAAACATAAGCTATTCCTCAATTAGTGTTTCTTGTATTACTCTGATGCTAAAGCAAAGATAAAAATTCCATTTTCTTGTCCCATTCCCCTCATGACACCACGTGTCCCCCTTCTTCCTTAGACTCTGAGATGGCAGAAATTGCATTAGCATGCCTGCTTTATTTCAGTTGACTGACACTTTTTTGACTTAAAATATGCATTATGTAGTTTTGCCCTAGATTTCCAAATAATTTATTTGAAAATGCGGGAGCAGTTTGAGATGTCTTCTGATATATACATGCAACTCATTTTCTGTGCGGATCACAATTCCAGCTACCTTCCGTGCTGGGAGGAGACTTGGTTACCATAGAGCTAAGCTTCCTGTAGTGGGGTTTTTTGAAGGCCCACCAGAACTGTGCCTAGCCAAGGTATTAGCTAGAGCACACACAATTAAGTAGAGTTACATGGCACGACTCCAGGAGACCCCAGTTCTCAGCCAAGGTGACCTTTCAGGTGCTATATGTCGTTAACGATTTTGGCCTAAGGCTTTCTGCCTGATCATAGCAGTGATTTGATCAGTTGATTTTTTTTTTTTCATTTTACACTTACAGCAATTACTTGTGAAGAATAAGTGTATATTCTTGTGCTGTTGCTACCATTACCCCAGGTGTCACTGAGACCATTTCTTGGCCTGAAGTGAGGGGAGCAGAAGGTGGCTTCATTTACGCAAACCTTTCCCCTTTATTCTTTCAAGTCTGTATTTTGGGAACTCTGATTTAGTTCTATAACTCAATGATCTGGGCAGGGGAAGGTCTTTTTTTTTTTTTTTTTAAATGCCTTGGGCTATTTTTGATGTGTTGTGACCTTGGTAAGGAAAGTTTTCCTATATCTATCCAGTAGATCTTTTTTAAGGAGGGTATGAATTGTGGCTATGTATTTTTAGACCACATTTTCCTGTGGCATTTGTACTCTGGTGCACAGTGTCATGGAAATTTCTCTTCCTGGTCTAGGATTGAGAAGGTGGTCTTTCAGTGCTGGCTTTGTCCAGTTACTGTACTAGCTGAGCGAGCCTCACTCTTCTCATCTGTAAGCAGGCATGAAGACACATGCCTACCATCTGCCTCAGAATTGGTAAAGGTGAAGTGAGCCGAGATGTATGAACAGCTTGGCAAGCTCTAAACTTCCCCTCAGTTGCAGGGCTGTGGTGGTGTGTAGTTATCACAAGCCTTGCACCTAGGAGCCCTTCATTCCTGTCTTTAACTCGCTGTGGGGTCTTGGGTAGGTTGAGTGAGCCAGTTTTCTGGAACATAGCATAGAGACGTGCACAGGGGCTGGCAAGGTACGTGCACAGGGGCGGGCAAGGTACGTGCACAGGGGCGGTCAGGCTGTGGGCTCTTTAGAAACAATCCCAGTCTGCACATTCTATGAGTTTACGTTTATGGGGGGAGGTTGCTTTTTTTTTTTTTCTTTTTCCGATTTTATTAGTGAAGAATTTTCACCTACAGGCAATGGTTGTTAACATTTTGCCACATTTGCTTTCTCTCTCTCTACACATGTGTATATTGATTTTTAAACCTCTGTTGCTTCTTTCCTTGGTGAGTGTTGAACAGTTCTCTTCTACAGAGCATAGCAAAGTTCGTCATTCCTGAGGCTACAGGATGTTGGCTTCAGTTGGAGCTTTGACATCCTTCGGACTAACAGTACCTTTCCTCCCACAGGATGAACTTACCGCTGTGAATGTAAAGCAAGGCTTCAACAATCAGCCCGCCTTTACTGGAGACGAGCATGGCTCAGCTAGAAATATTGTAATTAACCCGTCAAAGGTAATGCTCATCGCTTCCCAAAACTTCCGAAAGAGCATACGTATGTGAGACCCATGGGAGCTAATGTTGATAAATTTGTGTTATTGAAACCACAACCCATATTCAAAGTTCCCCCAGATATCCTTTATGCTGTCCTGCCGCAGGGTCCAATCAGGGGTCACGCACTGCTTTTGGCTGGCGTGTCTCCTAACACTATTTTAATCTAGTGCAGTACCGCTCTCCAGAGTCCCTCATTTTGTTGTTGTTGTGAGTTTTTTTTTTTTTTCAGGTTAAATATTTTTGGTGCAAAGACTGCAGTGCATATCAAGAGACATGCAGTGTTAGTTTGCCTGAGTATTGCTCATACTGTTTGATCACTTAAGGTGCTGTCTGCCATCTCTTTACATTGCAAAAATAGTCATCTTTTCCTCGTAGTAATCCCCACAGGGTGATACTTTGAGACCGTATGAATATCCTATTGTCAAATAAATTTTTTTTTTTTTTTCCGTGCGCGGGCCTCTCACTGTTGTGGCCTCTCCCGTTGCGGAGCACAGGCTCCGGATGCGCAGGCTCAGCGGCCATGGCTCACGGGCGCAGCCGCTCGGCGGCGTGTGGGATCTTCCCGGACCGGGGTACGAACCCGTGTCCCCTGCATCGGCAGGCGGACTCTCAACCACTGCACCACCAGGGAAGCCCTGTCCAATAAAGTTTTATGCTATGATTTTAGCATCAATTGTCGATTTCTGATGAATGATTTATTTTGCTGATGGTTGCAAAATGCTGGTTTTGTAGTTATTATTCCTCATATGTTTATTAGTTGACATTCTTTTGTTAAGGACACCCCATTTTTCAGTATCACTTTGAACCCCTGAACTCTTAAAATCAGTTGTATGACCTTCAGTTTTCTTTTTGATGCTCACACTGTCTCACATTTGGCCAGTGGGGGCACCTTTAACCTGGTTCTTGGGCCTTTTGGACAACCCCGTCACCCCCCAACCCAGTCCTTTGGGCACTTCCTCACTTGAGGTACAATAACATAGTCCAGGGCCATCTTGTTCTTTTCCTACCCCATCCCAGATCTGGGTGCCCAGCTTGCTCATGGCTACTTGAGTGTCACAACTTCTAGGCCCTTTCAGTGGACAGAGATGGCAAAAATATTTAGGTTTCTTCTTTTTCTTCCCT